CAGTGAGTAGGGCCTCAGCCTGGCAGTCCTGGGGCCTGGCTTCTGTTCCTGGGTTGGGTAGGTGCCCCTCACTTAGTCAAGCCACCTCTCTGCGGCCAGCTTCCACCTTTGCACATGTGGCTAATAAAGCCCCTGGCCTTTTGCCAGGCTAAGAGGTGCTATGGAGCAGCCCTGAGGCTAACGCACTGTGCTGGGAGTCAGGGCTCCTGGATTCGAATCCCAGTTTTGCTGCTAGCTGACTCTGTGAACTCCAGCAAGGCCGGTGCCTCAGTTTCCCCATCTGTAGCACACAGGTTCTGCCAGGGAAGTGTGGGGGTTAATGCATTTGTATTTGTGAAGCGCTTTGCGATCCTTGCAGGGGAAGGGCTGTGAATGTGCAACATGTTTTTAACACAGAGACTTTCAGCCAGGACAAAGAGATCCTGCTAGAGTCCTGCCTGCCCTGGCTGGGGCTCCCTCACCAACATGCTCCCAGCTCCCAAGCCCAGCCTCTCCCCACAGCTCCTTCCCTGCCAGGGGAATTTTACATAAGGTGCCTGCTTTTGTAACAGTTGCTTTTTCTGCCCCAGGCTCCCTGCACACATTCCCCATGTCCAGCTGCGGCCGGTTTCTCCTGCAGAAAGTGCTGCTGTGCGAGGGGGGCTTTATCCTTTATTAAAACAACACCAAAGCCAGGCAGGGCGGGAGAGTCCTTGGGGGTGGGGGGCAGAGCGGGGCTAGGGTCGCAGCCTTTCCCCACCAAGTATCCCACTGGACTGTAAAGCCCCTGTCCATAGAGACAGGGGACACAAGCCAGCCCCATCTATTCCCGTGGCCTCCCTCCCCGTAGTGTCGGGCCCCGACACATTCCTGACTTCCCCCCCAAAGCCCCACGAGGGGGAAGGATTAGCCATTTGCACCCATTGCTGCTGTGTCAGAGGCCCCCCTGCTGTACGTGAACAGAGTGGGAGACAGGCCCTGCCCCGAAACATTTACCGACTGACTAGAGAAGCCGAAGGGCGGGATTGTTACCCCAGCTCACTGGTAGAGACTGGAGGTGCAGAGAGGGGACAGGACTTGCCCCAGGTCACCCAAGAGGTCTGGGGCAGACCCAGGACAGGATCCTGGCAGTGTTGACTCTGAGTACAGATGGTATCTGGAAACTATCACGCCTACTCCAGACCTTGCGCTTGCAGGCCAGCTTCTGGTGTCATTTACCTCTGTGAAATGTCATTGGTTTCCGAAGGTGTGAAAGCAGCAATTGGACTGAAATCTCTGTTCCACTGCAGCACCATGTACTGGGCTTCATGTACATGTGGATCAGATGTGCTGTTGCTTTTCACTGGCTGGGCTGACAGATAGGCGAAGGGACCTGAAATTAGCGCTGCTAATAAAAGAGGATTTCTATTAGCTTCAGCAGCAGGGGTCTGTGGGCGAGGGGCAGTAGTACTGGGGTTCTAGGCTGAGCTCCCCACGTGGCTGTCACAGCATGTGGGTCCCTAGTAGGCTGAGCCCCTCAGAGCTCCCAGGGGGTTTCAATCCAGTTGTTGAAGGCTTGTTGGTTTGGCATCAGATGTTGACTATCCAGAGTCTAGGTGAGTGAACTAGGTAGGTCACCTGGGAACAAGGGCCTGGCTTCATGTGAGGGGGGGTGTTAAATAATGAGACTGACATTCAATTCTACAGCACCTTTCATCACGAAGGAGTCCAAAGTACCTGTACTAGAATCACTGAACTACAGCCACCGCTGGGGAGGAGCATGGCAGCTGTTTAACAGGGCACAGCAACACGATGCACATTTAGGACAGAAAGCGAAGCAAGCTGTAACTAGCTGAAACTGGGGGGAGGGGGGTTGTGGGGTATGGGCTAGGACACCAGGGCTGGCACCTTGACTCTCCAAAGGGTGTCAACAAGACAGAGGTGCCTCTGCCTGGCAGTGATCCTTCTGCTGCTGCGGGACACTGGTGCCCAGCGGGACACTGGTCCCAGGCATTTTGCTCTGCCAGGGCTGGAGCAGTGGGATGCCCAGGAGATGCTGCCAGCTGAGTTCTGACTGCATGGCACATGGGCAGCAGAAACAATGAGCAGCGAACACAGTGGAAGGGTCAGTGAGGTTGCCTTACGTAAGCTCCCCTGATAAACAACATGTGTTAGGAATTTCAGACGAGATTGCAAAACCCCAGTGGCTGGGCGTGGGCAAAAACAGCACCACTCCCCCGGGCCTCTCTGCAAACGACAAGCCCACCCTCCCAGCGGGGTCCTTTCAATCCCTGTGTCCATTCAGCAAAAGCACGGGGCTCATGCAGGGGCTTCTCTCCCTCCTGAACATTCCTGCCTGTCCCCACTCTGCATGGCCTGGAAACATCCCAGCCCAGGCTGCACGGGGTGAGCTCCTGACACGGCACACATCAAACATGGCTCGGCCTTGCTAAGCAGGTTTTTAACCATATTCCTCAAGCCCAAAGTCCACCTTTCAGTCCCTTTTATATAGCCAGCTCTGTCGGGAGTGACGCATACTGGTTTGTCCTCTCGCTCGCCCCCGTCCCCCGCAGCTGGTCGTTAGATCGCATACTCCCAGCCCCAGTGTTTGGGAAGCCCCTGGCACATAGGGTTGCTAGTACAAATCAGTAAATAACAATAGCACAATTGGGGAACCCGGTTCCAACATGCTTTGGTCGCATGTCCCCTGCAGGACTGGAGCATGTGTCACCATGTTGCCATGTCATAGCTGGGTCCCGTGACACAGTAAATGGGACCAATGGGTGGGAGCTTTGGGTTCTGTTCAGTGCGTGCTCCCGGGCTCACTGAGCGGTGGCTTGTCCACGTGGGGAGGGTTTTGGAGATGATCACATGGACTTTTGCAGAATAACTAATCCAAATGAAGTGGGGCCATACAGCCAGTCTTGACCCATCTCCCCCTGCATCAGTGCACAGCATTCTGGGCAGGTGTCGCAGGGAGCATTGTTCCACTGATGGACGCTATGCACTCTGGGATTCCTCTCGTGGTGTATTGTGGGATTCCTTCGGAAAGCCACTGGAATTCTGGGACTTGGGGTCAAACTAGCACAGTCGCATGATCCCGCTGTCTCTTTGGGGAGGAGGAAGGGCTGGGCTGGAAGGGCACAGTGTGCAGGTATGTGGGCGAGCATCTGAGACTGGAATCCAGCACTGGGTGAGCTGTAACTTAGGGCTGGCGACAAGGGACACTGGGATGGCGCCAGGTTGTGTGCAGGGGGGCAGGATGAGAGTGGCACCGTCATGCTGAATAGGGCTGGTGCCTCCACACGCAATGCCCTGCAGGTGGCTGGTGTCTCTGTGGAGGATGAGGTGCATGGCTGGCACTGCCCCAAAGCAGCTGGTGCTGCTGTGGAGATGGCACAGAACAACTGGCTGCACGTCTGCAGGAGATGCCCTATGGGACTGGTACCTCTGTGGATCCAGTACAGTGGTGGAAGGGCTGCCTATGGCTGGAGCCACGGAGAAGGGGACTGTGACACTGCAGGGGAGGGGGCTGCATGTGGCCAGCACCATGGGGGAGGGGCCTGCACATGGCTAGCACCCACAGTGCAAGGGGCTGCACCTGGCTGGCAGCACGGTGGAGGGGGCAGCCTACAGGGGAGGAGGCTGCACACGGCCAGCACTGCAGCCGTGGGTACAGGGTACCAGGTACATGCCTGGGGTCTCTGCAGATGCTCTGGTCTAAGTGGCAGCAGGGGTCAGAGTGGTAGAGGGGTCTGTGCAGAGGCCCAGCTGGGTGGGGCCCTGAAGCGGTTTCTCCTTTCAGCTTCAGCCCCTTGGTATTTAACCCGTGTGGGACTCTGGCTGAATGGACGTGTGTCCCCGAACCCCCGCTCCTCCCCAGATCAGCTGTTCAAGGCATTGCAGGGGAAGTGCAGGGTGCCGCAGATCAGCCATGTTCAGGGGCCAGGGACTGAAGCCATGATAAGGGGACAGGGCTGGGGCTGGGACCCACACAGCCAACGGGGCCAGGGGCAATGGAGGCATCTCCAGCAAACCGGGTTGGTGAAGGAC